CCACAACATTAAATTACTGTATCGCGAACAGTAAACGACCACCGCCAACTACAGTATCACTGTAGCATGAATAGTAAATCAACACCCATCCTCACCCGTAAATAACTACATAGTGAACAGTAACTCATATCCGACAATATATTTTTAAAGTTACTGTTTATGCTATAATATTTTACTTTATTATAAATAGTAAATCAAATCAAATGTATTACAACTAGATCCTCCTCTAAGTATAAAAGAATAGATATGATTTTTAAATCAAATGTATTAAAATTTGAATTCTCCTTTACGTATAGAAAAATAGATATGATTTTTAATTTTAAGTATACAATAATAAAATTAAATATATTAAAATTTAAAGAAAGATAAATTTAAAATACAATATTAAAAAAAGTCCGTCCTTTGCACTGCGCACCAGCCCGTGTTGGTAAAGCAGAGACCTTTTGCACCCATGAACATCAGATGGGACCCGCCATCTCACCCCCCTCTGCAAGATAAAACCTCTCACCGTGAGCTAAACATTCTTCTGCCCCCAACGAGAGGATGGCGTCGACCAGAGCGCTGCTCTCTTCTCACAACGCCCTGCACCTAATTTCGCCTCTCTCCTCATCCATCCATTTTCGACCTCAAACCCTAACCCTAACCCCTTGCCTTCGCCTCCTCCGCTGTTCCTCTTCTTCCTCCCCGACTCGGTGCCAGCAGGGAAAGGGGCAGGACGAAACCCTAGCCAAGATGGAGCCTTTCGTCCTCACCACCCCTCTTTATTACGTCAATGCCCCTCCTCACATGGGCAGCGCCTACACCACCATCGCCGCCGACGCCGTTGCTCGCTTCCAGGTCCCCCTTTCCTTTCTTCTTTCCTTTGGATTTGTACTCGTAGGGGTTCCGATTCCTACAGACTGCAGTTTCTGGGTTCTTTACGGATGCGGCCGTGATATTTTTATCTTGTTGTATATAGCGGGCTGGCTGAGTGAATGGGGGTCAGGCTCTAGGTGTAATGAGTATGTATAGTTGGGGTTCAGTATGAGTTACCAATTTGAGCTCTTTTGGTTGTTATCAGTATTGTTGGGACCGAATAAAGCACCGTATCAGCTCGATCTAGGCTAAACACAGCCTTCTGTTTCCTTTCTTTGTTTGGATACCGACACATAATTGTTAAGAGGTGATATACACATACGATTCTTATTCCTATTCTTCTGCTATTTATTGCTACAGAGGCTGCTGGGGAAGAGAGTTGTATTCGTTACAGGTACCGATGAGCACGGTGAAAAAATTGCTGCTGCTGCTGAGTCGAACAGCTGTAGCCCCAAGAGCCACTGTGATGCCGTCTCAAACGCGTACCAAATGCTTTGGAACGATGTATGTCCGGTGTACATTGCTTGATTTTGTTGATTGTAGTCGCACGGAATAATTAGATTTTCAACACTGGCTAATCAATTGAGCAGAATAAATATCATCAACAGCTTTTTCTCTCTTCAGCTGGATATAGCATATGACAAATTCATCCGTACTACTGATCCAAGTCATGAAGTGGTTGTGAAGGAGTTCTACTCAAGAGTGCTTAAGAATGGTGACATTTACCGGGCTAATTATGAGGGGCTTTACTGTGTAAATTGTGAAGAGTACAAGGTACCATTTAACTTTCTTATTTCACATTTGGTGGTATATAAAATTTTCTTTTCATTCTCAAATTACTTAGAAACTTATGGTTGCAATGGTTTGACTAATGGGAATGACACTATCATAGTTAGGAGAGATGAATGCAAATATTTATAGCAAATCTCATCATCATCATCATCATCATAATCATCATCATCCTTGCAACATTTTCTAGTCTACAAGAATTTTCAGGGATTTTCCTCTAGTTTCGTCAGCTTAAATCCAATCTTACTAGTAGTAGATTTTTTTATGGTGAATGCACATTTTATGTAGAGTCATTGAGAGTTTTGAAGGATTTGTGCCCATCAAAAGATTGTCGATGACTAATAGATGATATCATATTGCTACTCATTCTAAATATGCCAGCATCAAATGCTACTCATTCTAGATACTCCAATCAGTCAACACAATCATAAAGTCATGTTCGATAACAGATCCCTCTGCAATGATATTTGGTTTCAGTTGTGATGAAGCTTCAGTCGGTATCATATAAATATATTATCCTATGCTAAATCCGAATTCACCATATACCCGACATCTGTTACATTTCATGGGGGCCTAAAGTGCCTAGTTTCTACCTGCCAATCCTAGAGCACTTGTGCTTTTGTTCAACTATTTTTCAGGATTAATGGAAATATCACCTGTTTATGAAACAGAACAAAGCACATGATACTGCATTTGTTCTACCTAGAACTTGCGAATATTAGTTTTGATTACAATTTCCAAGATTTACCAAATCAAAAGTCCAAAATATCACTATCGAGTTGAGATGAGTATGATTTTTTTTTAGCGCCCATCATTGTTAGGTGCAAAGGTAAGCCTAGACAACAAATAAAATCTAAGACTATTCCTCCTGTATACTTTTTTGTTATGTAAATATAACAAGAATGCCGGTGTAAATAGTGGCAGATATTGTCGGCATAAGCTGGCTGTTGCTTTTAGGCAGCGCTTGAGATATTGTAAATAAAGTTTTTAAAAAGGTTTAAGCGCTCACTTAATCACCCGCTTAAGCGGAAGCGGGATAAAAATGTGTAGGATTTGAGTTATGTGCTCAATTATGCAGACACCTGCTTACTCAGTCAGTTTTTAAAGTAAGCGCCCACATAATTTATTTATTATAGTTTGAACCTGTTTGCTCCAAAACCCGATCCAACTAACTACTGTTTAAAAAAAGCCTTTACTTTTCCCAAATACTGTGGCTCTCTCTCTTTGCACTCGTGCCAACGGTTGTGACAAGACTCTGACCTTCGTCCTTCCTTAGCTTGGCAAAGCTTCTATCACCGACGAATCAGTGAAGCTTCTATCTTCGGTGAAACTTCTCGTTCGTGATGAGGATGATGCGGAGGGCTAGATGATTTGTTTTATGTTTTTCTAGATAAGGACTAGATGATTTCTTTTTTGGTCCATGTACATTTAGTTTTAGTTTACGTATTTAATTTAACGACTTTTATTTTAGTATCCAGTTACTTTTGATGTATGAATTGAACTTTTAAGTAGTTATTATCTAGTTACTTTTGATGAATGGATTGAACTTTTAATTAGTTAACTAGTTCTTGATTTGTCTTTTTCTTAGTATATTTTCTATTTTCATGAATTTATATATTTTAACATATCATAAATAATAAATATATATTAAAAAATTCAATATGCATAATTCTAGTAATCCGATTAATCAAAGCTTAATTTGATTAATCATTAAATGCTTCTGTACCACACGCATAATACAACCGTGTTTTTGAACATTAATTGTGCAGACCAAGTACAAGAAAAAAGAACACAAATATATCACATGGTTGGCATTGAGGACTAAATCCATGGATGAAAGAGGATGACAATCCCCATAATCTTCAAGGAGTAGAAAAGTGAGCTATAAACAAAGTTCAACCCAAATACACCCATAACTCAATGAAACATAGACAAGAAATCCTAAATAGGTGAACATAAATTTTATGGCTCATATTAATTGCAATTTGCACTATGAAGATTTAATCAAAGGACCCTCAATTGGAAAGATTGGTTTTTCCCATGAGAAAACTTCATAATTTAGGATACATTCAACAATTTTCCATAATTATGCTATTCCAACCTAATCAAGACTACTCAAAACAGAAAACTGAAGGACCATCTTACGCACTCAAAATTGTCAAATGCTATCGACCAGTGCCTTTTACTCAAATTTTCCAAACAGCACCTCTATTGGACGGAAGAACCAGTGACTAATCGGTTAATCATAAGGCTAATAAAATCTTATCGTGAGAGATTGTTTAGAGCGTTTATTCAATATTAGCAATTTTTAAAGTATTGAATTGATTGTTTCAAGCACTAATAATAGGTAGTGAGGCTCGACATATGCAATTTTCGTGTGTGGGTGGGTAACTTTATGCAAACTTCAAAACTTCAAATGTGCTTTAGTTTACTTTGTAGGATAATTCAAGCAAATAATTACAACTCCATGTTGTATTCTCAAAGAGGGCTGGCTTGCTTTTATTATCTTTGAAATAAATTTTGATGCACAATGTGTTGCTTCTCATCTGTAACATGCTTTTCACCGAATCACAGTTGAAGTTGCTTTACTATCATGGGCAACTTTTTGTGGAATCTTCCTTTCTATCAAATCATTCTTAAATTATTTATCATGTATATGTTCCTCATTTGATCATATAATGTTTCGTAGGATGAGAAAGAACTGCTTGAAGATAACTGTTGCCCCATTCACATGAAGCCTTGTGCACTTCGCAAGGAGGATAACTACTTTTTTGCCTTATCAAAGTATCAGAAGTTGTTGGAAGAACTTCTAGTTAGCAATCCAGATTTTGTGAAGCCTTCATATCGGCTTAATGAGGTGTGCTGTTATTACTCTCTTGTCATACAAGTAATTGGAAGCATGCATTTTTTGTAATACAAATTTACACATCCTATATGGTTGAGAAAAAAACACTATTGAAATGTGAGTAGTACACCACCTATGCACCAATTTTTTTGCTTTTTCAGAAGACGTTAATGCATAGTGTGAGTGTGACATATGAGAAAGAACCTTCTTTTTTCCCTTTTCCTTTTCAATTTGAAACAAGAGAAAGAATACATTAAATTTAATGGAAAATGTTGACTTTTATAGTCCTAGTGGACATTTAGCTTCTGAAACATCCTTGCACTGTTGTGGCTTTTCAATTTTCTGACCTAAGCTTTTATAGGAATTGGTGGTCATTTTCAATTAGTCATTTCCTTTCAGAGAAACATTTCACTTATTATAAAAAGCTTGCCATAGCATGTCCTGATTTGGTGCTGGTTTAGGTGCAAAGCTGGATAAAAAGTGGCTTGAGAGATTTCTCCATATCACGCTCGTCTGTTGCATGGGGAATACCTGTACCAAATGATGATAAACAAACTATTTATGTCTGGTTTGATGCTTTGTTAGGGTAAATTCTTCTTTCATTATCTTTAACATCGTATTATGTGCTAGTAGCTGGCCAACGACTTTACTTTCTTGATTTGGATGTGCTTGTTCATGTAAAGTGCTCAGGTACAAAGTCTGTCCTGTTTCAATTGACTGTGCACACTATCTTGCATGTGTCAGCTTCCCTCAATTACATCAATTATTGGCCAAAGGCGTTCAGTCAGTTTATTGTAGCTTGAAATATTTACATGTTCTAGTTTGTATTGGTACTTTTCTCTTAAATAGCTAAAAGCATGGATTTCCTGAATATACAATGAACAGATATGTTGAACTGTTGAATTTCAGCAAGGCTCACCTTAATGTTCTGTATCTTTAAACATGCCACATTCCACCAACTGGTCTACTAGACGAAAAGTTAGCCCTTGACCAGGGATTTGCCACTGAAAAACATATCGTTTGCTGCAGGTTGACTGCTGATCATTGTTTCCTGTCAAATCTTCTTTTGAGTTTTATTAGTGCAGAGTTCTCTGTGGAGTGACCTTATTCTGGTCGTAAAAAGTTTCTGACAATGATGATGGTGCTGACCTACAATGCATTGGCATGTCACACTGAGACACTTTGAATTATAAAAAGTACCTACAACACACGTGTCCATCAAGCTTTGTTGCCAAGATACTTCTATCATGAAGTCGTACCCATCAGTGTTATCAAAGGTGCGCGCCGCATGGTGCCTTATGCACCTTGCGATGTGGGGTGGTGGTGAATCGCCCCACATCCGAGGCGACAACGCCTTTTGCACCTCATAAGGGTCCGCATGCAAGGCATAGCCTCATATATTTTTGTGCTTTAACATTTTATTCAGATCTTTATACACAATAACTTATATCCCAAGAAAGAAAAATAAACTCATTAGGCCATTTTAGTAGCCCGATAGAGAATCTTAATTTGTTCTCGTTTACTATTTGATTTTTCTTCGATAAAATTAGTATAGATTTGACCTTTCATTTGGAAAATTATGGATTTTAATACTATGGTGGCTGTGTTAGCAACTTAGCATTATGAATTAATACCTTATTTTGTGATTTGATAGTAAATATTATTTATCTTGACATATTTTTATGTGGAAATTCATTAACATGTTCTTTCATGCTTGATTATCTGTCTCAATTATGTGTACGGTGTGTGCCTCACTTCACTCAAGCAGCACACATCGCATTGCGCCTTCTGCTTGTGTGCATAAAGGGACTTTGCATTGCGCATTGATGATAACACTGATACTTGTACCCGGCACATATTAGACATCAATACATACCAGACACTCCTTGGACACTTCCATCATGTGTCGTACCCCTATTGGACATTGAGACTCCTGTGTCCCATACACGCACCCGTAATGGTATCTGTATCCGTTCTCGTGTCTATGCACATAGCTAACAAGGGTCCAAAAGGACACAACTTCATGATATAAGCACTCATGCCATGTAGGTGCTGAACGACTGCCACTGACAATGAACATTTCTCTTCAAATATTGCGTAATGTCTGGAAAGAATTATACCTTTAAGATTATTTTTCTCTTCATATCACAATGATTATGATTGTGGAAGTACTGATGCAGTTTCTATAGTGCTTAATGTAGAGCTTGAGAGTTTATAGGATTTAAGTGTGGGCTCCATACAATTTAGTTATACACACACATTAGAATCTGGTATGTGTATGTATGTATGTATGTACGTATGTAGATATACATACATACATATATATACATATATGCATACGAACATACACATACATGTATGTACGTATATGGTTTGATGGTGGTTAGGTGGTAGGTCATTTAGCAAAATGAACTACCAAGAGAGTAAGCGATGCGACCCACAACTTTTTATGTGACAATAAGGGTGATCATAATCACGTGTGTATCTATTGGTAGCTCATTTTGCAAAATGAGCCACCACCTTGGTACCCATCGCCCCCCCCCCAAGGGAGGGAGGGACTATTAATAGTGTCCAATGTATTATATTTTGGAAATATCATAGGGCCAAAATCCAAATCGGATAGAAATTGGGGTGTCATATCAAATGATGTTCATACGTAACATAACATTGTAATATGTAATCAAAACATATTTAATGTGTTATAAACATAAGAGAATGCGTCATGAATAAAGATATACATTAGGATGACTAACCGATTGTAGACTTGTTTCTCGATCGCATCATGAAACTTCTCATTGGATATTAGCCCTTTTCATTGGATATTAGTCAATAACCGTTTTCATTAGATATTAACCAATATCAGCCGATAATTCGTCAAGGAAGTATCAGCGGATATTTCCGATATATTGGAAAATTTTGGTGAAAATTGGAAAACGCTATTTTTCATAGATATCGTATCGTGAGGGCATCAAAACTGATATATCGGCCGATATTAGCAATATATCAGTGGATATTTAATACACTGATAGTATCCTACATGTGGATATTTTCAATCCAATTTTTAAATTTAAAACTCAGCAATGAAAATCCAAATCAGTGCATGCGATATACAACACATGAACTACTTAGAAACAAAACTTCAAAAGATTTCGACGAGGTTTGAATCATATATCAAGGGTGAAAAGTAAAGTAACTTTTGAAAATTTTGAAACATTGATTTTAATCACATATTATACATGGATTAATGATGTTGAAATCTTTTGAAATTTTATTTATTGATAGTTCATATGTAGTAGTAGACCAAATCCATCGGTTTGGATTTTCATTTTTGGGTTCTGCATTTAAAAATTAGGTTACTAGTATCTGCATATTGGATACTTAATGTATACTTCATATACAAAGAAAAATTAGTAAACCCACACCAACTATTTCTTATAACTAAACATATTCTGTGTTTCTTGAAACATATATTTTCAAATTAATTTAATGTTTATCCTAATTTCCTTTGGAAGATATAACTGTTCTACTTGAATACTTATCATGTGAGTCATCACTCTTTAGGTTTCTAATCAAGTAGAAATATAATCAGCTAAGGATACTTTATGTAAGTCTTGATTGGCTTTGGTTATTAAACATACCAGCTTATGAATTATTTATTTCTTTTTAAATGATACTTACAATAAGTCTACTTATACCTTCATTGGGTGTCTTTCATGAATCTTCAGTTTTTTAATAAAATTAAGAGCTAACTAGTTAGTTCAAATCAATTAAGGATGCTTAAAATTGTAAGTCTTTCATGAATGCATAAGTCCTATGAGAATTATCATAGTTTTGTGATTGCGATTATAAAATAAATAGTAGTTTATTTATAATTGTTAATTAACTAAGCATCAGAATCCTCTATCAAAATACTAATCATCATAGAACCTTTTAGCAACTTATATAGATTGCTCTAACTATGAGCGAACTTATGGAAGAAAAACATATGCAAAGTTGTATTTTCTAAAATAAAGCATTATAGTCTAGCAAAACATAATGTGAAAAAAAAAAGATTTGTACTCAACTTTTATCCAGAAGAATTTGTGGGACTTGAAAACTTGTGATTATGTATAGTTAACTAGAAGAGTAATCATGTACATACGTGTATGTCGGTTTGTGCGCATGCGTATGAGGGTTAATTGGAAGGGTTAATCATGGACATGCAAACAGGGCAGATCCGAAAGGGTATTTTAGGAAGTTCACAACGGACCCTGCAAACAGGGCAGATCCGAAAGGGTATTTTAGGAAGTTCACAACGGACCCAAAACCCAAAATTTCTTTTATATATATGTAGTTTGTGTACATACAAATATTTATAGATGCATAGACTTGACTACTTCTAGAAGGACATGATGTTGAATCCTTCTCATTCTAAGTCATTATTAGGTCAGTCAAATAGAAGATCCACTAGGTTAAACTTGATTTGAACTATTTGAAGTGTTCATAAACTCAAAATCAAGTAGCCACGCACCATTCAGCATACAAATGAATGCCACAAATTGGCTGTCTGTCAGTCAACTGTTTGGGAATAAAATTATAATCCATATATTGTGTCATGATCTAAAAAATTTAAATCATTGTAGACCAATTTCATTGGGTTTCAGACATTTTAGACTACAAAGTCAACCAACTTGCTCTTTTGTATGTGTTTTTGGTGTCTGCAAGGAAACTTAAAACAACTTTGAAATTGGCGTTTTAAGCACTTTAAAAATAAAAATTAACTTCAAATAAGTGGATCTTTAAAACTTACGCTCTAGTATTGAATTTGAACAGGAGGGATTTGTCTGTTGTACTTCCTTTCTCCTTTTCTTCTAGTATATAGAATTTTACTGTAGCAGTACATGTTTTGTGGACTTTATTTAAACACATCTTATGTCACATGCCAGATCCATAAGCTGCAAGCTCATCTACATTCTCTGAGCCTTAATTTTCTGCTCAGATATTGACATTTACCTCTTATGAGAAACTTTATTTCCTATTATCTTCTTTCATCATCTCCATCATTGATGTTTGGATACTCTTCAATGCACCTGTACATTGGGCCTAGTCTCTCTTCACATTATTAAATCATAAGAAGTTTTCTTTCACTTGCTGATTTGAATTCGTTCTTGTTTAGATGATATGTTAGGTCCTGGTAATTTCATTATTCCTTTTTGCAGATATATTTCCGCACTAATGGAGGATGGCGAGAAACCAGCTTTACAAAAGGCTGTTGATTCTGGCTGGCCTGCTTCGCTACACTTAATAGGCAAGGTTTGGTATTTTTTTCACCTATTTTATCTGTACAACTTTCTTAATTCTTCTCCTTTTTCTAGATATTTAAGTACTCACCTATCCTGTTGATGTATAAAGAACATTCACTTGGTTAACGTGATTCCATATGTACTTGAAATATTCATTATATGTGTACTGTTGGTACATGGATTCTAGACATTATGCACTCTTTGTGTTGTCCTACCATATGGGTGGATGCAGTTCGTGTCGTAATGTTTCTTTTGTTACTTTGACACTTCCTCAACTTTAGAAGCATTGTTGTATGTTAGTTCTAAAAATAGATACACATAACAACAAAGCCTTTATATGAAATTTCTGGGAATTGGTAGTTCTAAGAATACACCATCTCTGTAAAGACTATGCTTTGCTTTCTAGAAAAGTTGAGAGGTATGACCTGTTAAAGATGAGAAATTTGGCCATGTGAATTGAGGTTGATAGTTGGCCAGGTTCAAGCTGCTCTGGTCTTTAGTTGATGTGTTGTTAGGGTGAGATGTAGAGCTACATCCTGTGTTAGAGTGAGGTAAGAGCAACATCCTGGACTGGGTTAGCAAATTGGCATGCTGATCATTAGTAAGTATAAAGGAGATGATACTTCATTGTCAGTGAATGAAAAATATTATTTACACAAGGGGTGATGAGGAATGGGAAACAACAAGAAAATACAAATAAAAGAAAAAAAGGGAAGATAATGATTCACACCTTCAAGGAATATAATTTTGTGCCTCGCACCCAAACAACTTACATGCCAAAGATTAATTGCAGCTCATGTGCAGAGATTTTTCAAAAGAGTTTTATAAGTTTGTTTTCTCTTTACCGAAAAGTTCTATAGCTTATTTATAGGATGCCTCTATGTGCACCACACACGCAAGTGTAATTTAAGTGAAAATATCAAATAAAAGCCTAACTAAACTATCTTAAAAGATAGGCATAAAATCCAAACTAATTTTTCTAATCCTAACTTCCAAATTTGCCCTGCATCAGGCGGAACAACAATAGAGCCTTTATCCAAATATTAGGGTAAGCAATTTAAATAGATGATTATCAAATTTAGTAATCCTTTCGGTGTTTGGATAAAAGTACCTAAAAATTAGCTTAGTTTAATAGTGCCCTGCAACAACTGTTATATTTGATGTAATTCTATCCAATGTGGCACCCACCTATGGGGTTCTATTGACGACTGTTAAAAACTTTAAAATATTTTGGGTAGTTTGATATAGTTTACTAAGAGTTTACTTAATTTCGTATTAGGCCACAACTACTATTAAGATTGATGTAAATCTGTTATAAGTTTGTCCACCTATTGCTAGCTTAAACATACTAAAAAGCAATGTTTTAAATGTCGGATGGGGGTTCATGTCGGATAGTTAAAATTCATGTCGGCTGAAATTAGGGATATGTCAGAGGACATGAAAAAAATATCGGATTGTTATATCGGATGTTGTGCATATGCGTAATATAATATCATAAATGAAATTTAAACACTTAAATAAATTCTGTTGTCTAAACATATATAAAGGTAAATAGCATATGATGCTTAGGGTTGATGTTAAAGGAAATAGGTGAGAAAATAGAAGACCGACGCTGGCAGTTAAGGAGAGAGAAGATCACCTGATATTGATGTCGAAAGAATAGCTCAGAGAATAGACCGATGAGATGTTGGAGTGAGAGAAAAGGAGTGACAGAAATGACTTCGGTCCTTTTTTCCCCTAACCGATCGGGTTGTCTTTGAAAGCAATATCAATTATCAAGTCAGTCAGGAATTTAAACCCAAACTTGATTAGATAAATGTAATAAAAAAATCAACTAATTTTTCAGACTGAAAAACTGGCCGACATAGCAATATGTTCCCTCGAAATATCTGACCGACATAGCAATATGTTCCCTCGAAATATCCGACCGACATATTCGACATGTCCCGTGAGATATTCGATATTAACCCTGAAAACGCAATACATATTGAAAAGCTCCATATTGTATCGGTTCGCTTCTAAATCCTCCATGTCGGATGTCACGTCCCAATTCCAAAATATAATAGTTTAGAACACGACTCGGCCGACAATGTAACCATATAGTCACATTCACGCCTCTGGATCATCCTGTATATCAATATAAAGGCAAAACTACACCATAGAAGCATGTAACCAAGATAATAAAAGAAATGTGTAGTTTAAGAAATCCCCAAAAAGAACAGAGTCTGAATACGAGTTCACAACTATCCACCATGGAAAAGAGTCAAGATTTTTTTTACATCATAGTCAGTCTAGAAAAGTCACATGGAACTCAAGAAAAAGCCTAAACCAAATAACTACTTAAAATAACTGAACTGGAGAACTGATAGAGTGAACGGTGATCACTGCCGCTGAGCCTGCTTCTCGAAATACTCTCGGTCCTGCGAGAGAACCGAGAAAGAACAGTTCCCGAGTCTGGGGCACGCAAACCCCATAGGAGTCAGAAAACTCATAACAAGCATGTAAAATGAAGAAATTGTGCGCGTGTAAGTGTAGGTGACATATGAAGAAAAGATGAATTCTAAATCAACAGTGAAGAAAGAAAATGCTAATCAAGAGATCAAGATAATGTCCATCACCAAGCATACAAGCGTATTATTATTATTATTTTAGATGTTATTTGAATTAGAGAAGAATAGTTTCATATATATAAATCGGTTCTCGTAAACCGTCCCGGGAACACGGTTTGAAGTCAAGTATTGGCCCTTTGGCCCTTGTATCAAGGTTTTAAATGTCGGATGTCGGGTTCATGTCGGATGGCTGAAATCCATGTCGGATAGCAAAAATCGGGGATATATCAGGGGGACATTGACTAAATATCGGATTGTCATATCGGGTAATACGCATATGTATAATATCATGTCCTAAATATAATCTAAGCATTCATAAATTCAATATAACCATACTTTATAAGTACTATAGACTAAACATATAAAAAAGTAAATAATATATGGATTTAGGTTCATAAATTCTTTCTATCGGGTTCATAAGAAACCCTTAAACATGAGAACGGGTCAAACGAGTTTGAGTATTTATTACTAAACCCAAACCTGATAACAAAAAATAGATCTTAAAAAAAGTACCATATCGGTCAATTTTTTAAAGCTAAAAAAAAGGTCGATATGCCCGATATGACCCTGATATTTCCGATTTGGCCCTGAACACCGACATACGAGTTGAAAACGTCCATATCATGTCGGTCAAGCCCTTAAACCGATATGTCGGCCGACATGTCGGACATGTCGGGCGACATTTAAAACCTTGCCTTGTATATATAACTCAGGATATCAGGAATGCGCATGTACCCGTTTATATACATGTTATATTCTCCGTCTAATTCTCCTTTATAAACCTCATATTTTCTGTTTAATCTAAGTGACTATGCATGAAATATTGTGCACTAACCATAAAGTTATCGTGGAACGACTTCTGTAAAACTATGAAAAATAATCGTGATCCAAAACATGTCCAATCAAGATGGGTGCATCGTTTAGTCGATGCTATAATAGTAATAGCCAAGAAAAAAAATCTCATATCGGGATATTGATATCGAGAGCATAGTCATGCTATGAAAGCACGCTTATAAATCATATTTTTAATAGGAGTCGTCTTCATGCACAGTCTGGCTTATTTGATGACATTACTGATCAACACGGATTAACCAATTTGATGACATTACTAATCAACACGGATTAACCACATGATCTATTTCAAAATGAACAAGGTGTAGAGAATGAGCTAACAAGTTCACTAAAATAATATAAGTTAAACAAAAACCGAAAGATAACTAATATTTTGAAAAAAAAATTTAGGGCAACAAATATGAGTTTTAGGGAACCCAGAAACTATATAGGGGAAAAAAATTAATGGTCCAAGGTTTGAACCACAAACCATTACACAGAATACAACCCTCCTAACCACTTTGCCCCAAAACTTTCTAGCGTACATGTTGCTATCCAATATTTAATAATCACACCAATGATGAAAATTAACATACATGACCGTAGCCAATGATAGAAACAATTGGGTCATAGAGTTTTACTATTTACAGCTTATGCCATCAAACTATTTACAGCTCATGCCATCAACTATTTACAGCTAATGTCATTAAACTATTTATAGCTAATGCCATCAAACAATTTACTACGAATGCCATCAACTAATATCATATGTATTAATCAGATTGATAACTGACAAATATTAAAATCATGAAAAAAATGTAACGAGTGGAAAAAAATCAAAAAAAATAATAAGTATGAAGTAATAATACTGAGGAAAAGAATGCTTGCCGATTCATCGAAGAAACGACTATGAACCCCAAATCCAAGAAAAATCCAAATCTCGTCCCTCTCATTCTCTTGTTCTCTGTTGGGGTTTCCTTTCTTTTTTTTTCGTTTTTTTCCTTTTTCCTACGGGGTTGAGGAAAGAAGAGGAGAGAAGATCTATTTATAAGGAAAGGTTAAGATTTTTTTTAGAATCCCTAAATCTAAAGAAATTTCGTTAGTGGGAAAAAGTAGTTGTAACAAAAAAAAAAAAAAAAACTGTGGGGATCTCATGATTGGCTATGGTAAGGATCAAATCACGAAGGTTTGTTGACAAAATTTCCGGAAAAAAAATAAAAAACAAACCTCACGATCTCACTCTCTTGCAAAAGAAAAAAAAACTGCAGAAGAGTGAGGTGGGCTTTCTAGATGGGCTTTGATTGTTTTTTTTCCTCCTCAAATCCAACATCATGTGGGCCTCCTATAAGAAACTTTGCCCATTTGACCTACTGAATTGATTTGCATCAAAAGATATGGATTATTACATCAGACATATAAAACATTGCTTAAAAGGATGTAGGTTGGCCACATTGTTAGGGATAAATATCATGTTTCTGGATATTGGAGGCAAAGTAAGCTAAATTTCAGGAATATCGGGGAAGCCTAATTTATAAGTTTGGTTTTATCATCTTTCTCAAGAGACATGAAGTTTATTTTTACAATCCCAACAAGAGTATTCTTTTCATCTTCCTCTGGTAAAATCAAAATCATTTTTTGACGATATTGGTAAGAACTGCATCTATTTTAAGTAGTTCAATTTGTATGAGATATCTCCCATTATCTTCTATAATTCTCCACTGATCACAACAATAATTTCCCCCTAAGAATCAAACAATAACCTTCAATATTATCTGTACTTACATTTAGCGGGATACTCAATGTTTCATCTGGTTCATGTTCCAGGAGGACCGGGACTGTTGTTGTCTTTTATATGATGTTTTTCTTTGTCAAGTGTGGTACTAGCACCTAATATTTCTCGATTATCTTTTACAGGACATTTTACGGTTTCATGCAGTCTATTGGCCTGCAATGTTAATGTCAGCAGGGATAAGCCTTCCAAAGATGGTGTTCGGTCATGGATTTTTGACGAAGGTAATGGCGCTACATGAAATTGCTTATAGTTAAACTCTTGTGTTGAAATACAGTTCAGCTATCCTACTGGAAACACTTCAAATTAGTTAAAAGAGAATGAATTCATGAATCATTATTGTCTTTTAAAAAGATAAATATTGGCTACATACCTTCATCAAGCAGTTTCTAGAGGCACCCTTGAAATTTTATTACTTGCCACCTTCTCTTCATTATGAGCATCCGGCTTTTTCTTACCACTAATTCTGCTTTCTGTCTACTTAGGTATATAACAAATGGATCTCATTTCCTGTGCCTTATGTTCAGGCCATGTTGTAAATTTGAGATTTTAATTGGAACATTACAGTCTAGAAATTTCTGAAATTGTTTTGTAAATTTGAGATTTTAATTGGAACATTACAGTCTAGAAAATTCCGAAATTGTTCTATAGTCTGAAGTTACATCTGTCTTTTGAACATAATGCCTAAATTGAACGAGATTCTAGACTATTAAAAACATATTCTAAAATGCAGCTTAATGTCACTGTTTTGATAATATGACTGACATACATACAACTAAAAGGTAGCAAAAAAACTCCATACCTGGTGAAGAGTTAAGTTCTTATATTGTTATGCTTTTGTATCCATTCCAGCTCAACACATGTTGCTAAACAGTTGGGGTTGGCAGCAGGCTTGAGATTTGGTTTGAACTATAATATTTATCACTACGAAGCAAAATAATATATTGTAGTAATACAAAAATGATTTTTCCCGGTTATCTTAATTTTTTGCAATGGGATTTAGTATTGCTATATTTCTTTAATTTTTTCATCCTGAAAGATTATCAGTTTCCTAGTTGCAAGTATGCCATTGTCACTTTTGTGCTCATACTTCTTAGTCATTGGGATCCAAGGTAATTACATTCACAGTTTTTTTAGATGGCTCTATTTTTTATTAAAACTAATTTGATAAAAACAAGAACTACAAATGCTCTTATGATTTCACCAGCAATCTAGAAGCTGACAGTGGTAACACTTTATTTTCATGCAGCTTTTCTTTTTATTTTGATTTAGGATGGTATGAAGATGGGGAAATCACTGGGAAATACACTTGAACCAAAGGATTTGGTGCATAAGTTTGGTTCAGATGCTGTTAGGTACTTCTTCTTGAGGGAAGTGGAATTTGGTAATGATGGAGATTATTCAGAGGAACGTTTCATCAATATAGTGAATGCACATCTTGCAAATACAATTGGTATATTTATCTGGGTATTTTGTCTTGAATATTAATATAATATAATATAATATTTTTTTTCTAGAATTTGGATATACCTTTTAGGGATGCTAATTGAATCAAGATAAACTAATGAACTATCAAATCTGACATAGTTATAGCTTTTAAACACAGGAAATCTTCTCAACCGTACCCTTGGACTTTTGAAGAAAAATTGTCAGTCCACTTTAGCCGTGGATTCCACTGTCGCAGCAGAAGGAAATATGCTCAAGGATACAGTTGAAAGATTGGTACCTGTTCTCTATCAACCTACAAACCTCTGAAAACCATAGAATAGTCAAATCATCTGCGGTTTCCTATTTTCTTAAATCTTAGTGGAAATTGACAAGTTATTCTTATGTCTGGCAATTTTCGTATGTTTTTCAATTCCTGCAATTCTCTATAGTTGTTAACTTATCAATTTCCTTTGCTAATCATCTTCTGTGTCAACTTTAAGCCTCTTCTAATACAATGTAGTTTATAGTTTCAATCTGCTCTTGTAAATCACATAATTAGTTGGAAGGAGTTATAGTTTACCCCAAATTTCTAAGTACTACATATTCTCAAATAAGTTTGCTGAGGTTTTCTAGACAATCTCAACTTGATTAGCTCATATAAAAGAATATTTGCAGCTCTCCTATTTATTAAAGGATCTGTTAGCTATTCACTTGACCTAATTTTGCAGTCCTGAAGGATGTTTTCCAGAAAAAATGGCAGCATTATTTAGTTAGCTGTCGCTCAGTCTATCATTAATCCATAAATAAATGTCCACAAGCATATGCTAATGCCATCATTGTGAAAGGTATGTGCATAGGGCTTGAACGAAATCAAAATAGAATGTTTAGGCATTCATTTTTGCACACGTCTAAAATCTTAGGACATGGAACTTGACATTGAATTTCCTTCAACTCTGAGTGCAAATGCAAATTTCCTTTGCGACTATTTTCGTTGAATACTGAACTGTTTTTTTACCTGACTTATTTTTCTTTAGTTCATTAATACCAAATTGTTTGACTAAGGAGATCCTTCCATTTGATTAAGGAATTTGATTCATTTAGTAGTGTTTGACTTCCTAATTGTTTGACGAAAGAGATGCATCCTATTTGGAAATTAGAATTTTGAATGTTTGATTAAAAAGTTCAATTTGAGGATCATTCATTGGGTGGGATTTTAAGTCTCCAAAAAACTGGTTTTTTAAAAGGTGCAAGGACATTTAAACATAACATCGATATAAATAAGTAAACTGACAAGGCATGCATTGACAGATTTCTTAGTCAATATTAAAAGGATATAGGAAGCTATAAGTCTATGATATAACATCAGGAAAAAGCAATTGACGAGATTGATTTCTTGTTGCAAATTCTACCTCTTAAAAAATATCTTTTCAGATAATTTATATTTTTTTGCTGTCAAATGCTTAGATGATGATTTCTTCCCTCTTGCTAGCTACAGAAATTGGACCCTGTTATCTGGGTGCATACAACTAAGGCCATGTATCATATTTCTGCGTAGTCTCTTCTAATCTTGTCTGTAAGTTTTTTTTATTAATAACTAATAATAGGTACTCAACATTGTACTTTGCAATCTATTTGTGTTAATGTTGCTGGTGTTTGTTACTAAATGGAATAATACATCTCTTGTTGTCATCAATCATCATTTAGAAACTCTTGCAAATCACTAAGTGGTCAGCTAGAGGGCACCATGAAAATTTTGAATAATATTAGCAACCCACCATATTTCTTTAAATTGGTGTCAAATACATAATTGAGAAAACCATGGACTAGAGGACTGTTTTCCATAATTTTAAAGGTCTATCTGTGGTGGGTAGGAAAATCAATCTCGTCATTCATGCTGTTGAAATTATGAGAGATACCATAAAAAATTCTCCTAACTTAAGGAGCCTAGAAGCAAAAGACGTATATCTTTTGATATTAGATTCAAACAGAGTATGTTACTGAAAGTTGTGTAAAAGAATATATTTGAATTGTTAGATGGTGTTTGGTATTCATTTGATTGGCGCAACACATTTGCAAACATAGAATGAGTGCCTAATTTTGAGCATTGTTATAAATACTTCATGTTTAAATTCCTTACTTCTTTGCTTTATATCAATTTGGTCTGATGACAACCTATTGAATAGGTGGACACTGCCAGACATCATTACGAAAATCTCTCATTGTCATCAGCATGTGAATCAGTACTAGAGATAGGTAATGCTGGTAATCTCTACATGGACGAACGTGCTCCGTGGTCGCTCTTTAAGAAAGGAGGTGCTGATGCTGAATCAGCTGCAAAGGTGATAAATAAAGCTGATAGGAAGAACTTAATTTGATCAGTTCTTTCATGGTTGTCATTTGTATTCACTCTCTTACTTTTTTCTTCATTAGTGAGGTTATAAGCCATGATTTGTGTTTCCCTGTATATATGTTTTCTTTCCACTGAATGGTTATTGTGGAGAAGATGGGATCAACTTGGGCGTATGAGGGGTCAGATAAATGTGAAAGTTTGATTGTATACCTACATCACAACTCTACACTCTTCCTTGCCTTTCAGTTCATAGTAGCCTGTAAGGAGGTTGAGATTGAGAATGAGATTTTGTGCACTTCTTAGCCTTTTAAACATGAACTGTTTTTTCATTAATTTTTTTTGTACATCACATCATAGAAAACCACTATGCTTTAAATGGAGAAAAGACTTTCAATATTGAGATTATCTTTTATTGGACTGTTTTCTTTAGCTTATCAGTTTGGAAAACCTGCTAGGTCTGAGATTAAAAGCATACAGTTACTAGATGAAAGCGCATCAGATTTTTTTTAACTTAAGATCAGCAGACATGTTGTCGAACCAGAAAAAGCTGACTGTATTCATACAGGATAGACTGACAGTGGAATAGACAGTGGATATGCAAGTAAGTAGACAGTGGAAGAACCTAGTTGAGTTACCTTTACATTCAATAAGAGGTGGCCTTTGATATGGCGGGTCTCCAACTCTGGTTCAATATGTGCCAGATTTGAGTGATTTGTTATCTTGGTTGGTCATTTTGCTCAGCTTGAACCTCAGTTGAACCTCAATGTAATATTGAATAGTCCATTATCCATATATGAATTTGATTGTCCAGTGAGTTCTTATCTTGGTTGGTCATTTTGGAGATCTACATATAGTTTAATTATGATTACTTGTGCGTAAATACATGAGTTTACAGTAGGGGAAATTAAAACCTTAGCAGTTAGAATTCTATGCTCTTGCTTCTGAGGAAGAACTTGGCATCTTTATATTGATTTGCCCTTTTATCTTTTGCTTTATATGCCTTGCTTCCACTGAACAAAAATGTAGGCTTTACTAGTATGGTTATGGTTTTGCCTTCTCCATTTTGTTGTTCAGGCATATAAGCCTTTCATCCTTAAACTGGGGGTGACATGTAGACAGGTGTATACTACTAAATAATTTGTGCAGTTCTAAGCATGCAATATTCTTGAAGAAATTTATGAAATTCTCATTACACATGACAAATCATGTTGAAGCTTAGATTCTCACATCTCTTTTGTTGATCCCAGAAACTTATTTCTCCAGTGTGTAAATCGTAGGTTAATGATAAATGACAGAAAAATATATACTGACATTAATATGTTCCATCCAATTTTTACGACATTTGCGAGCATTGTATAGTTTTCGATTTCAACAGTAATAAATCTGTAAACAATGAAATTTATGCTCGTACTCAAAATATTTCAATAAAACATGAATGGTACTTTCAGTTTTGAGTAAGGAACAGAGACCATATATTCAGATGGGTTCATTTTCTAACTGAGGACCCTTCTATTACAACACCCATGCTTACATATCCATCAAATTACCTGTAGCCAGTTCTGAATCAGATTTCCGTGTGTTTTGACTTTAACATGCAGGATCTTGTCATCATACTAGAGGTGATGAGGATTATCGCAGCTGCTTTATCTCCAGTAACTCCAAGTTTATGTCTGAGAATATACACACAGCTTGGCTTTTCAAAGGATCAGTTCGAAGTAATAACATGGGTAATTTCCTCTCTTGCTGAATTCTTTACATCCCATTAAAACACTTGGTTAATATTACATGCTTATTAAAGCACCATAGGTGGGGGAAGGAGGGGAGTCCCTAAATTTTCACCTTAATCAATTTTATTTTCCTGATTTTAACTTTTACCGTATGTTCTGCTGTTAAATGCACTGTGGCAGGTTAGCATCAATTTTGTTAATAATCAACAGATTAAAGCTCAAAGTGAAAAGTCTTTTCAGATCCCATTTTCCATTTAAAGTACTTGCTGTTATAGTTGATTATGATGCGTTCATCCTGCAGAGTGATACCAAATGGGGAGGGCTGAAAGCAGGTGACGTAATGGCAGAACCAAAGCCAACTTTTGCACGGATCGAAATAGTGAAAGGAGAGGAGGAAGTCCCTCGCAAGGCTGTCAAAAGCAAGAAAAAAATATCTCAGAGTCAAGGACTTGTTGAGGCTTAGTTTTTTCTTCTTCCAGATTTGTTGGTTCATATCATGGATGACTTGCATTATTGGAGATTTTCCTCCATGTTATTTTTGATTTTTATCTCATACTGGGTCTAGTAAGTTAAATGTAAAATTCTTTTTGTCCAAAGAGAGTTCCTCAAGTAAATCTCTTTGTATCATACCACAATAATCTTATTTTTCTGAGATTCTTTTTACCATGATATTGAAAGTTTTTCTTCTTTTCTTGCAACTAATCAGTTCTTCGTATTTCTTCATGGTTATGGGTATTCTCCGTCACTGCGACAAACATTGCAGTGTAATAATCCCATCGCAAAATATATGCTCATTAGAACTGATCAAGTATTGTTTCCGGTTCCGAAATATTGCATCAACTGTTTCCGTGCGGCGTGTTTTATTAAAGCAGCAACAAAACTACAGTAACACATTCAAGATCTAAACTTCATACTTGATACAAAACACACTGAAACTCCTGCAGCTGCTCATCACTCAATCCTAAATCTCAAGAGCCCAATCATCACCCTCATCATCGTCAAACAAAGTAATCAGCCCACCAGTAAGGGCGTCTTCTATAATGCCTGCCCTGCTTCGAGCTCTCCACGTAGGCAACCACAGCATATGGGTGCCTCTTCATGTCTCTTGCTGCCGCCGCCGCCTAATCCCTCTCTCGCTTGATCCGACCCCACCACTCAGCCTGCTCCACCACCTCCATTGCCTTTACAAAACCACAATCTCCTCCACCTTTGCCTTTTCCTCTTCTGCCTTCAATAATGCCTTTTTAATGATATGTTTCAGGTGTTTCTCCATGATATCTGCCATCTCATTGACGATACCAGTTGTCCGCAAATCTTGTACGTCCAGGATGTACTTGTGAGAGGTTGAGGGGAAGGTGAGGTGTAGGCCAAGAAGAGGGCACATATCAGTGACAAACCAATTTGTTAAATTTTTTTTTACATTTTCAAATAAGAAAGAAATTAAAAAAAAAAAAAAATATTAGGAAAAATATGAAACTATAGCAAAAATTAGAGGAATTTTTTTCTTTACAAACGTAAATGATGTTTATATAGATCCTAAGTATGAAATAGATGTGTAACGATATTTATATTCAATAATGCAATATTAGCAAAATATATCACCCTTTGTAACGTGATAATTTAACTATAGTATCACCGAATAGTCAACAATTTAATGTAATTTATTAAACAAACAGCTTTGGGTATCCGCTTTTGGATCTTGGTTCATTTTTTTTTTTTGCCGCGACTGTTTTTAGATGGGGCTTTTGATATCAGTCTGCAGCTTAATTCACTTTATAAAGTTAATCCTCTTTTGCGTCTACTAATTATATGTTAGAACCAACACTCACTAAAATACAATACATACGTGCTCCCGTGTAAGCATGTGCTGCACACAAACATGTCACAGAGTTTCCTTGTCAACAAGCACTGACGTCAACCACTCAGTTGCAAGCTGGGACAAAAGTAGACTCATTCTTCTATTTACTTCTTGATCAACATATAACGCCCTACGGAAGTAACAAATCTCGGAATCTACTAAGCTGTGCTTTTGAATCTCTAAAGAACGATCTCAAATCCACGAAGAAAATATAACAAGTAAAATTTTATTGATCAAAAGTTATGTATTAATTCTAGGGTTACATGTCTCTTATTAAATAGGAAAGCAAAATAGACTCCTAATGAGATTAGAATTACAAAAGATACAGAAAATATCAAATCCTATCCTAGAAAGACCCTCTATCATAGAGAAAATAAATCAGTCTAGCATGAATCAAAATTAAGTTTATTTCCTAATCTAAATTAACTCCAACTTTATTATAGAAAATAAATAGAAAGCCGACTATTTTCGGTTTTTTGGCAAAAATGGTTAACCGATGATGAGATTTTGAAAATTTGACAATTTAGTTGGCTTTGTCTCATCGAGATAGATGATTTACATGCATAATATATCAGAATTCGGCTTCTGGATTGAGAGATATAGTCGTTTCTTTGCGGGCAAGTTAATAATGTATACGTTATCCACATTTAGCTTGTGATAGTCCCGCTCCTCCAAGAAAATTTCCATTATGCGTCATATATCAGTCTCCTCTTATTGAAAGAAGCTCAATCCTGAGCTTATATTTGCTTGAATAGTAGCTTCCTCGATAAATATTTTTGTTCTCTTGCATCGATCAACATCCGTCTTGTACTAAATATTGATTTTCTCTATCTGTTGTTTTACCTCCTTAGCTAGGACTTCTTCTAAAACAAACTTTTGAAAAAATATTTCCCATACCATATGTATGTGATTGGTGGCATGTGGATTATAATTGCTTCTCATATTCTAGTGCACATCTCAACATTATTGTCATTGACAATCATTGCTTTCAAAAAACAATTTTTCTTATACTCCATCCCTATTTCTTTTATTTCCTTTGCTATGAATCTTCTAGCAAGCAAGTTACACATATCATCAATCATCTTTCTCTCTATTCTACCCTTTTCTTCAATCAGAACAACATCAGCAGGTTCAATATTACTCACAATAGCTTTAGAAATTTCATGCATAATATCCATCTTCACTGACATATCACCATCAATATCAAGAATCTCAGCTGCAACAGGGGTTTTCATCTTAGGAGGAATCTCGGGAGGGGCAAGTTCTTCTACTCTGAATACAACCAAGACATAGATCTCTTTAGATTGCTGCAAGTCTTCTGTGACTCGTTGTCTGTCACAGAAAATTTCTTCTTCTTAATAGTCTCTATCTTGAATAGATTCTTCTTTATAAGAGGCATGAGTGTAACTCGACATCCATCCTTCTTGAAGACATAAACATTGTCTTTGCTCCAGTGGTTGGTACTAACATTGAACTATCATGACCTACCTAAAATCATATGCAAGAATCCATCTTGACCATATCACATGACACCTCATCAATATAGTTGCGGATGATGGACAAACGTAGCTAACACACCTCATTGACCTACATATCACTGTCTTGCGACTCCAGCCAAACTTATAGGGAATGTTGTGTTTCTATATCTTCAAGCCTAACTTCTCCATTATATGTTGAGAGACAAATTAGCTATGTCATTGTCAATATTAATATCAGAAGTATTCTATATTACTGTGCATCTCTTGCGGAAGATATTATGAGGTGGTTCTTCTTTCTTCGTTACTTCTTCTGTGCTCTTCACAACTTTAAGGTCTTGCTTGATCTCTTCATGATCATAGTTAAAGTAGGAACCTAGTTATCGATTTGAAACATAATAATAGATAGAAAAAAAATGAGATTAATAATTCCTTCTTCTTCTTCACCCATTATTAAATTTTTTTGCTTTTGTTGATGGGCACATTCCTTGCATAGTTACCGCCACCAAAATAATGCTTTACCCTTAAGTTGATAGGATACTCGGTTTACCTTCTACTATTCTAAATTTCCCAAGTACCTAAAAAATCTCTCCACCTAATCAATCTAATTAATAAAATCTCTACATCAAGTTTATTTTGAAGGATGATAGATCAATTGTCATGTTAAATCCTTCAGTATCATAGATATCCCATTGATAGTTTTGATGACCACAACTTTGATGCAAGGCTTCATACTCATCAATCTCGATGTTACATTTGCGAAGTCCTATCACTTCTTTGGTAACCATCAACATGATCTCAGACTTGTCATAGGTTGAGATGCTCCATTGCCAGTACAAATCAGTCCATATGAGTCTTAATCTGAGTTTAGGTAATACGAGATTAGTCACTTGCAATCAGATCGGAAATAGGCTCGGATGCTAATTGATGCAACGCGAAAGTAAGAAAACTCAGAACCTACTAAGGGGTTCTCTTTGAATCCATAGAGAACGATCTCCGAATCCACAAAGAACTTCAAACCAACGAAGAAAATATAACAACATGAATTTTATTAATGAAAAGCTATCCATTACTTCTAGAATTACATGTCTCTTCTTAAATAAAAAATAAAATAGACTCTTAATAAGACTAGAATTATAAAAAAATAGCAAGTATCAAATTTTACTCCAAAAAGACTCCCTACAATAGAGGAAACAAATCAATCCAACATAAATTAAAATTGACTTTATTTTTTCAATCTGAATTGACTCCAACTTTATTAATAAAGATAAATAGAAACTGTCAATTTTTGGATTTATGATAAAAATGAGTACTAATGATGAGATTTTGGAAATATAAGAATTCAGTTGGTTTCGTCTCGTCTTGATAGGCGATTTACATATATAACATGTCAGAATTTGTTTTTTAGATTGAGAGATATGGTAGTGTTTTTGCGGGCAAGTCAATAATGCATGCATATCCGTGTTTAGCTCGTGATAGTCTCTCTTTTCAATGAAATTTTCCATCCTACATCAACATAATCGTCTAATTTTCTTCTCGACTTCTCCAAACAGGTGGATCCATTTACTCTGAAGTTTACAAATATATCTAATGTTTTGGACACATTTCCCCCTAAATTCGGCCAAGACTTTGGTAGCTTGTCAACTTATGTATGTTGGCAAGCATTGGTGGGTCAGTAGGATTTATTTTTCGCTCATAAAAAAGAAAACCTACAAGTGTAGTCATTGTTTAGTTACTTTCTTATGTGGATTTTTCTTGCTTTTGTAGATTTGCTTGGCAAAACCAAATATCTGAACCAGTGTCTTCTAAGACAAAAAAATACAGAGGATGGAAAGCGTGCTCAATTACCCATTATCTATCTGCATTGGTCCAACAATCTATAGCCAGTCAGTTAAAATAGCAACCCTACAAAATAATTCCTCTTCTTCTCGCTCAGGAGCTGCTCCAACATCTCCTTCAGGGAGTCGATGGTTGCTTGTTGCTCGTCGAGTCTCCTTGATATCTTGTCAGGGACATCGGTCATGTGCACATTTGCGTGCTTGCCCTGAACTGAGCTTGAAGTCTGCGACATTGCCACTGCTGAGCAATCGTCGTCGTCGTTGTCAGAGACGGACGTCAGACCCGTGCAGGCAAACGGGGTGGCCACCCCCATTTGGGCGTGAGCGTGTTGGCGAGGTTCATGCTGGCGAGGTTCGCCCGTCAGGCGAGATTGGCACAGTGTGC